TAAATGAGAGAGTCTCGCTTTAAATGACAGATAACTCTGCCCTAAATGAGATAGCCCCGCCCTAAATGACCGATAACTTCACCCTTAAAGACAGTCAGCCCCACTCCAAATGACAGATAGCCCAAACCTAAATGACTGATAGCCATGCCCTAAATGACAAATAGCCCCACCCTAAATGACAGATAACTCCTCCCTAAATGTCAGATAGCCCCACCCTAAACTTTAGATACTCCTGCCCTATAGGACACCAGGGTTACACCCCTACTCTTTACCAGGAGTGCCATAGGATTATTAATGACCACAGAGAGTCTCATCTAAAAGACGGCGCTCACCGACAGTATAGAGTCCCCTTCACTATACTGGGGCATTAGGACTCGCCGGGGTTGAGCGCCCCCTGCTGGCCCCACTAACACCACTTCAACAGCAATCTAGTTTTCCCATGTGGTCTCCTATCCCATCCTAGTTTCAGTGAGGAACCGGTCTTGAGCTGCAGGGTGATATCGCCGTTAAAGGCTTATAAACTATAAGAGGGTGAAGTTTACACGTTATGCAGACTTTATCAAACTAAATCACTCAAACTATATTTCAGAATAGTTATTCGCGATTTGACGATTGCATGATGATGTCGTACGCAATGTTTTGTGTAGCTTGTCAGAGAACTATGTAGTAAATTCACAGCTGATTACAGAGATGGCTTTATAGCATAACGCGCATGACAATATCATGTGATAGGGCTGGGCGATTAATCGAAGAATAATCAAGATCACATTCAGAAACTTTACTTGATCTAATTTTCCCAGGTCGATTTTACCGATTATTTTCTTCTACTGTGTGTGGAGTCACGTAACCTCGCTTTGTTAATGCTGATTTACATCCCGAGCAGGTGTATGGTCCAGCGCAGCCTTTGCTTACCTCTTACCTCTCAGCTCATCTTGATCAACATTGAGTGATTAAGCGACACACAGTGTAGGTGAAATGTCAGAATGTCAATGAAGTGTAGTCTGGAGCACATTATCACAGACCAGACTCAAACACTCATCCATCACAGACAGAGAGCGACCTGTCAGTAAATCCACACTGGGCTTTCACCGCTGGTAATGAATCTCCACAGGACGCCCTGATTAACACACTGTACATGCAGAGTCTGAGATCAGAAAGAGCGCGATCAGATTTCACACACTGTTGTTTGTTAGTATCCTCTATGGTTCCACTGAAGGGCACAGCCCAGGTTTATCGGAAATGCATGCATCCGAGCACGTGTCGTTTGCATGTTTCAGATGACAAATCCACTAGAGGGCACTGTTCACATTTTTGTGCACATCTGAAATGCATTACTTAAGATAAGTTTTGTTGTACGTTTAATATGACAAATCCACTAGAGGGTGCAATTTATATATATATATATATATATATATATATATATATATATATATATATACACGATTCAGAAATGCATCACTTATGGCATGTTTTGTTGCATGCTTTAGGTGTCAAATCCACTAGAGGGCGCTGTCTACAGTTTTACCATTCTCAAATATGTTACTTGGGGTACGTTTTGCAGTACATTAGCATAAAAATTCCAGTAAAGGGAGCTGTTTACATTTTTGCAAATTTGAATTAGATTAGTTAGGCTGTTTTATTTTATGTTTCAGATGACAAATCCACAAGAGGGCGCTGTCTACATTTTTGTGAATCTGAAATGCATCACATAGCGCAGTGGTCCTCAACCTCTTTATCACCGCAGACCGGTCAACGCTTTTACAATTTGCCTGGTGCCAACTGATCCAGGGAGTGGTACCGGTGGTTGAGGACCACAAACACAGGGTACGTTTTGTTGTAAGTTTTCATTGAAAGAAATCCAGCAGAGTGCGCTGTCTACAATTTTGTTAATTTGAAACACATTACTTAGGATATGTTTTGTTGTACATTTCAGATGTCAAATCCACTAGAGGGCACTGTCTATATTTTTGCGAATGTGAAATCTGTGTACACAGTCGGTACTGCAATTGAATTGAAACGTACTGCTCGGCCGTGTACATTCTATACAATATATATATGTAAATATATATATATATATATATATATATATATATATATATATATATATATATATGTAAATATATATGTATATATATATATATATATGTATGTATGTATGTATGTATATATATATATATATATATATGTAAATATATATATATATATATATATATATATATATATATATATATATATATATATATATAATATAAAGTACGTTCTATAAAGTATGAATGTGAAAGGTATGAATGGAATTCGGACGTACTACATCTGCCATTTTGTCATGGTCACATGAGCTACATGATATAGTTGCGTCGCTTCACTCCCATTTATGAATTTGCTCGTAAGTAAGTCATCCGGGTACTTCTCGCATACTGATTTTCGAATTCTACGAATTCGGACATCTACTCGCCTTGCATATTGATTTTAGCGTACTGTATAGTATGGAAGAGTGCGATTTCGGACGCAGCCGGTGTCATATACAAGACATTAAATAAATGAACACTCAAGGTTTGGACAGCCCACTTAGAGCTGACCAGCCCATTTGGAGCTGGCTCCAACCCGTTCATACCCTTTTCCTAGAGCTTGTTGTTTACATTTTTGTGAACCTGAATTACATTACTAAGGTAAGTTTTTGTTAGCCTCAGATGACAAATTTACTAGAGGGCGCTGTCTACAATTTTACGAATTTGAAATGTAATTTAAGGTACGTTTTGTTGCCCATTTCAGATGACAAATCCACTAGAGGGCGCTGACTACATTTTAAAAATCTGTAATACGTTACTTAGGGTGTGTTTCAGTGCACAATTGAGATGAATCCACTAGAGGGTGCTGTCTACATTATTGTAAATCTGAATACATTACTTAGGGTACGTTTGGTTGTACATTTCAGGTGAAATATACATTAGAGGGCACTGTCTACATGTTTGTAAATTTGAAATATGTAACTTGGGGTACATTTTATTGTACATTTTATTATTGCACTTTAACCTCGTAGATTTACCTTGATTTTACATTGCTTTTATCTCTTTTGTAAAAGCGTGCTTCACCAGACTTGAATCTTGAAACCATACAAAGTGAGCTACAAAAAAAAAAACACCAGAAAAATATGAACAAATGGAGATAGGAGACGCAAACATATCGTCACTAATCATAGACAGCGTTATTTTGTGGTGTTTATTTAGAGTTGTGTAAAGAACTGAACAAAAATTATATTTTATTTGTCGATAATAGGTGTCTGTAAACATCATTAGTGTGAAAAGGAACAAAAGTTGTTGTCATTCTGCACCCTAGTGTTCATTTCACCTAGAAACTGCAGTCAAACATGTGTATAAGTACGTTTTTACAGAAATGTAAGCTGAAGCAGGTAGTTCAGTGTTGGACCTGTGTTTATGGAGCTGTTTGTGCTCTCATTCATGACGCCTGATGCGTATGAACACGTCTGATAACATCTCTGACTGATCAAGATTCAGCTATGGGGTGGAGTGCGGGTTGCCTATAAATAAAGTAGATCTATAAAACGGGCTGTTCCAGTGTATGAATTACAAAGATTTTACGATGGCTGATATGAGGTTAATATGCTATTGAACACAGAGAAACACGGTCTATAAATGACTAACTAGCCGAATACTTCAGGAGGACATGCCTCTATGTAAATATTGCTTCACTGAAGTTTTTACATGCAGCTAGTCTGAAAAAACAAAAAAAACCAGGGTGGCTGAGCATGTTTTTAAAGCCTACAGAATTTGGACATATAATAATATTTATAATAATATACATTAACATATATAATAACAATATACAACAACAAAACAACAACAGTATAATAATTAGGGATGCACCAATACAATTTTTTGGAACCGATCCGATCCCAAAATTCTAAGTATCGACCGATACAGATCGGTTTATTTTTTTAAGCATAATACAGTAGATATAATAATATAATAATAATGTAGTTCTGGTGATTAATAACACATCTTATTTACAAATAACAGACCTATAGACCTGCTGTATATGACAGACGACACAATCTAACTAAAACATGATGCTTGCTGAAAACTAGGCTACATTATTTGAGCATTCCTTATGACATTGATATGATCTGTTGTGATTCAGCTTAGGTTTCTTTTTTAATATTAAGATTTTTCTTTGAAATCTGTAATAGGCCACCAATATGGACCCTAATCAAGTTTAGCAGAGCTTGATATTTTCCTGCAGGTTTGACGCAGACTAAACTTAACTCTCTGAGGCCAGTTTTACTTAATAAACATTTCCTCTTCTGTTAATGACGATCCATATTACGCCTGTCAGTTTCACTTTTATTAATTTAATCAACTACTTGAGCCAGGCTTTGCAAACTATTTGCAGCACTGAAAGCTTTCCCCTCGGAAGAATAAGCTCAGTTGGAAGGATGAGAGAACAGAAACTTGTTGTGAGAGTAATCTTAGAGTGGCGCACATCGCGTCTGCGCAGCCGGTGCCTGAATGAAGCATCACTGAGACAGCACACAGCCCTATGGTATACAGACACTTCCAAAACAGCAGCACAAAGGGAACAAATCAGTGCGTTGAGGATCTGTCCAATGTATAATTGAGCACTTTCTAATTTAAAGTTTCTGATAGGCCTAATTTGTGTGTGAAGAGCAGGTATTGACCCTCTCTACTCCAGTGTTGCGAATCCAATTTACTAACAGACACAGCGCATGATGTAGAAGCAGCAGTAAACTCCTTGCTGGAGTTTAAAATGAGCCCATTTATTGCTAAACTAAATGTATTTCTCGACCGTTTACTTCTATTAACAGGTACAAATAGTCTTGGAGAAAGGTGTTGTCGAGAACGCGATGCACAATTAGAATTGTGAATGAATGGAGAATGAATGACAGGCGCAGTGCAGAGCTGCGGCCCTCCAGAAACTGGATTTGACACCCGTGTAGCGCATCTCTACAGTTCAAACACACATACCTCATTCTCTTTACTCTCGTATTTAGATGCGTTTCTCCCTTGGCTTTTCCTCCGGACCTTCTTCAGGTCTGACTGTGATCTCTCCAGCGAGTCCTGCTTCATCTTGTGTTCCGTCTGATATCTCTTAAACGTGGCCTGCACACAGACACAATCTAAGACTTAAAAAACAATTAAAGAATACATGTCACTTTTGTTAAAGGCTTTATTGAGGTGTATAATTATTCATTTGCCACAAATTCAAAAACATCCAAGCATGCAAACACAAGCAACAGATGCAAAAACACACTTGCACGCATGCAAACATACACGCATTCGCACACACACGCACACAAACAAAAACACGTACGCATGCAAAAATACGCATGCAAACTCACACTTGCAAACATGAACGCAAACACACATACAAAAAACATGCAGGCACTCATGTAAACACACTCACGCAAGCCAACACGCATACAGAAAACATTATTATTTCTATTATAAACTTATAAAACTAGCACTATTAATATTATTATGACTATTATTACAGCTCGCAGCGTGTGCACAGAATCATTCCCTGAGAACAAAGAAATCATTTGACTAACAAAACCCATTTGAATACTTTGACTGTAGGCATTATCAAAAATAATCCCGCAGTGATGTTTTCCAGCTAGCAGCACTGTAAAACACTACACAGCACATCTCTCTCAGGTTACTTTACACTGCACAGAGAGCTTCATGAGTCAAAGTGCAAAACAATGAGCTTAGAGAAGAAACTATTCACATGTTCATTATCTGCAGGATCCTCTTGCCTTTGACCATAAATAACAATTATACATAGAGTAATAATTAAAATAAAATGCATATAAATAATAAAAAATATTAATAATAATGATAAAATAATAATATACATAATAGTACATATAAATACTAATAAAAATACATAAATATTAGTAATAATAATAATACATAAGTTATACTTAATAATAATAATATTAATAATAATAAAGTAATACATATAAATGATGATAATAATAATAATAAAATAATATTAATAATAATAACAGCAATGATACATAATAATAATAATAATAATAATAATAAAAGAATAATAATATTAACAGCAATAAGACATAATAATAATAAAATAATAATAATATTATTATAATAATAATAACAGCAATAATATATAATAATAATAATAATAAAACAATAATAATAGTGCATATATATAATAATAAAAATAATACATAACTAGTTATAATAATTCATATAGTAATAATAAAAATAATGTGTATATATAATAATAACAATATTAAAAATATGAATAATATTAATAATTCTAATAACAAAAGCACATTTAAATGCTAAGAAAAATAATACATAACAATAATAATAAAATAATAATACTAATAATAATAATAATAAAATAATAATAATAGTGCATGTATATATAATAATAAAAAAATACATAACTGTTAATAATAATAATTACAAAACTATTACTATACTAATTCATATAGTAATAATATAATAATAACACGTATAAATAATAATAACAATAATAAAAATATGCATAATAATAATAATAAAAAAATTACATATAAATGCTAAGAAAAATAATACATAATAATAATAATACATATAATAATAATAAAAATAAAATAATATAAATATATATAATGATAAAAAAATGAATTATACACTTTAGATCTTATAGTTAATTGATTCATTGAAACTGCTTTAAAAATCAATTACACTGAGGCTCATTTAAAGGAATAAACCACCCCATGATTTACCCATCCTCGGTATACATGCATAACTTTCTTCTTTAAGATGAACACAGTTAGAGTAGCTGTTTTATTTTATCCCAGCTCAACTCAAAGCACATGAAAACAAGCGATAAACCAACCAATCAAAATAACCCATACAGCAGCAGGGGTTAAACCACGTCTTATAAAGCAGATCAGTGTGTTTTATCAGCTCACCGTCATGTACTTCACATCCATGTCTGTTTTCCTCTCCAACTCCGCAATAACCTCCCGATGAAACCGTCTGAACTGTAGCCACACACAGAGAGAGACAATTAACAGGAGCATACAGTACAACACAAACTGAATGAATGCATCATATATACACACAAACCAGAGCAAACCACTGTTATACAATGCCTTGCCTAATTACCCTAACTTTACCCTAATTACCCTAGTGAAGCCTGTACATGTCACTTTAAGCTGAACACTAGTGTCTTGAAGAATATCTAGTCTAATATTATGTGCTGTCATCATGGCGAAGAGAAAATAACTATTAAAAATGTATTAGAAAGTTATTAGAAATGAGTTATTAAGACTATTATGATAAGAAATGTGAAATTTACAACAAAATCTGTTTAAAATAATTAATTATTTGATGTTCATTCTGAGTGGAAAGTCATATTTCTAAAGCACGAGACCAGCAGTGTGAATGTGACGGCTTCAGTGATTATAATAGGACGGCTGCGCTCTCAAACGATTATTGCATTGCTGCCTTGTGTCACGTTCTGAGTATGATTTGTTTTGCACGCTTCAAATCCCGCATCTGTTGTCATTTTCACCCAAGATAAACTTCCTTTTAATCCCCTGCTTCAGACTTAAAGCGCCTCATCCGCAGCCTACATTAACGACTGGCCGAGATGAATAACTCTAAATTAATAACTCGACATGTTCAACATGACTTTTGTTGGTGATTATCAGCTGTGAGGAGCAAACGTGTGCTGTTTTTGACGGCCAGGTTTCCGTCAGCAGGTACAGTGTGTCATCATCAGGTGCAGGGCTCAGGTGCACACAGACATGTTCAAACCTGCTCCCGTTACAAAAAACAGAGAAGGAAAAGCACAGTCCAACATGTGTTCGGTGCGTCTCCTGCGGTTTACACTGACGGAACTGCAGGAACACGGCTATAAAGCTGACAGGAAATGAAATGTTTGATTTGAGATTAAACTGCGCTGTTTGTTGTGGTGGATTCATTCAGACGGCAGCCATGCTTACACGATAAATGCGTAAATAAAACACTCACGTTCTCCTCCAGCTCCACGTTGACTTTCCGATGGACGTCTGAGATCTCCATCAGCACGACCCCTGATGGAGAGAAAGAAATAAAGAGTCAGATCAGTCTCCAATAATAATACTATTCAATTTCCATTTTATTATAGATAATGCCGTGAGATGCAACATCTCATTTTAAAGGAGGTTCCATAAAGACAAAAACTAAACAAAAACAAAGTGCAGTTACAAACATAGAGCTCATCCAAACCTCATCCATCCATCCATCCATCCATCCATCTATCTGTCCATCCATCTATCCATCCATCCATCTACCTATCTATCCATCCATCCATATATCCATTGATACATCCATCCATACATATCCATCCATCCATCCATCCATCCATCCATGTATCTATCCATACATCCATCCATCCATATATCTATCCATACATCCATCCATCTATATATCTATCCATTGATTGATTCATTCATCTATCCATCCATCTATCTACCTATCTATCCATCCATCCATCCATCCATCTATATATCTATCCATTGATTGATTCATTCATTCATCTATCCATCCATCTATCTACCTATCTATCCATCCATCCATCCATATATCCATTGATCCATCCATCCAAACATATATCCATCCATCCATATATCTATCCATACATCCATCCATCTATATATCTATCCATTGATTGATTCATTCATCTATCCATCCATCTATCTACCTATCTATCCATCCATCCATCCATCTATATATCTATCCATTGATTGATCCATTCATCTATCCATCCATCTATCTACCTATCTATCCATCCATCCATCCATATATCCATTGATCCATCCATCCAAACATATATCCATCCATCCATATATCTATCCATACATCCATCCATCTATATATCTATCCATTGATTGATACATTCATCCATCCATCCATCTACCTATCTATCCATCCATCCATATATCCATCTGTCCATCCATCCATCCATCCATCCATCCATCCATCCATCCATCCATCTATATATCTATCCATTGATTGATTCATTCATCTATCCATCCATCTATCTACCTATCTATCCATCCATCCATATATCCATTGATCCATCCATCCATCCATACATATCCATCCATCCATCCATCCATCTATCCATCCATCCATCTATATATCTATCCATTGATTGATCCATTCATCTATCCATCCATCCATATATCCATTGATGCATCCATCCAAAAATATATCCATCCATCCATATATCTATCCATCCATCCATCCATCCATCCATCCATCCATCTATATATCTATCCATTGATTGATCCATTCATCCATCCATCCATCCATCCATATATACATTGATGCATCCATCCAAACATATATCCATCCATCCATATATCTATCCATCCATCCATCCATCCATCTATATATCTATCGATTGATTGATCCATTCATCTATCCATCCATCTATCTACCTATCTATCTATCCATCCATCCATATATCCATTGATCCATCCATCCAAACATATATCCATCCATCCATATATCTATCCATACATCCAACCATCCATCCCTCTATATATCTATCCATTGATTGATCCATCCATTCATCCATCCATATATCCATCTATCCATTGATCCACCCATCCATCCATATATCCATCGATCCATCCATCCATATATTCATCGATCCATCCATCCTACCATCCATCCATCTATCCATATCCAGAGATGCAGTCAAGAGATGGGAAAAATTTGTAGAGTTGTATCCATCTATCTCCCTCACTCCACCAGTCGGGGCTTTATGGCAGAGTGGCCCAACACATGAAGGCCCGCTTGAAGTTTACTAAAAACGCCTGAATGACTCCAAAATGGTGAGAAATAAGATTCTCAGGTCTGATGAGACCAAGAGAGAACGTTTTGGCCTTAATTCTAAGCGGTACGTGTGGAGAAAACCAGGCACTGCTCATCACCTGTGCAATACAGTCCCAACAGTGAAGCAGGGTGGAGGCAGCATCATGCTGTGGGGTGTTTTCAGCTGCAGGGACAGGACCAGGGTATATGCAGGAATCCTAAAGGTAATTTCAATACCTTTAAGACTTTTTAAAGAAGTTCATCGCCACTTCAAGTTCTAATCAGTATCAAACCTTTAACTTAATAAGCTGTTGCTGTCATAGCGGTTTTGGCAAGTTCACCTGTGGTGTGGCTGGTGGTGCATAATAACTGGCGATGGACAGCTGGCTAGCACCCTGCATGTGGGACTTTACAGCATTTATGCGCATCGATGATATACTCATTTTCTTTTTACAATACGTACAGTAAGCCTCGCGGTTGTTTTCAGCGACAGGCTTCAGCCACTGTTTAAACTCGTTTTTCTCCAACCAGGAGTAGGCAAACTTACATCCTCACATGTTGCCGTCTGTTTTGCTACATGTGGAGGGGGGTCACATCGCCTTCCTGCATTTGTCGCAAATTATGTGACATCGCCCAGACAAAGGAGCATGGCCAGACATGCCCCGGCCCGAATCAATCGTGTGGATCAAGCAATTAATAAATATATTGATGCTGTTTTTAAAGTCAAACACTTTGGACAGCGCCTGAACAAAATTTAAGACCTCGTAAAAACCCCATTAAGACTTTTTAATACCTTTGAAGAGCTTTAACTTTCTCATAATTGATTTATTAACTTTTAATACTTTAAGACCCGGCGGACACCCTGAGGACGACTGGTCGCAATCGAGGGAGAGATGAATGTAGCCAAGTACAGGTATATCCAGGACCAAAACCTTCTCCAGAGTCCTCAGGACCTCAGACTGGGCCAAAGGGTTACCTTACAACAAGACAATGGTCCTAAACACACAGCTAAATAAAGAAGGAGTGGCTTCACAACAACTCTATGACTGTTCTTGAATGGCCCAGCCAGAGTCCTGACCTAAACCCAATCGAGCATCTCTGGAGAGACCTTAAAATGGCTGTCCACCGAAATTTACCATCTAACCTGACAGAACTTGAGAATCTGCAAGAAAAAAAAATCTTTCCCAGCACTGGGTTGTGGCTGGAAGGGCATCAGCTGCGTAAAACCCGTACTGGAATAGTTGGCGGTTCATTCCGCTGTTGCAACCCCTGATAAATAAATAGAAATACATAAATACAAAATTCCTAAATATAATACCCAATGCATTTGGGCAGATATTTACACTTCTTACTTGACAAATTGTGTTTAGTATTTATGAATTGTGTTTTGAACTTGCCAATCGGCTTTTGTAAAGTGAAGTATCCTGCTCATGTATGAATTTGCTCTCGTAAGCGTGTTATTTTTAAGACTGATCTGGCTCCACGACTAAAAACACAGCCTCTCGCACCCATTAACACGTCCATTGTTTTTAATATAATAATGTGCAGAATATTCCCCTGGCTAATAAACCCCCGCGGACTTGTTTTCCCGGACTGTAATTAAAGCAGGCTGGCTCTGAGATTTCTCCCAGCATGCTCCTACCCGCTGTAATCAAATGGGGATTAAAAATGCAAAAAAGCAACGGCAGAAATCAGAGCACTTTATATAATGGATCTGCCCACAAACACACACTCATCCACACTTACTCTACAGGCCGGACTGGATTTAACGGCTGGACGGAGAGACTTTAATATGAGCTAATTCTCCGTGACATCTGCGAGGAGATTTTTTATTTCTGCCCTGGAGAATTTTTTGTTTCTTCTTCAAGTATTTCCCAAATGATTTAGTAATGATTTCTCACAGTGTTTCCTCTAATATTTGTTCTTCTGGAAAAAGTCTCATTTGCTTTATTTCGGCTAGAATAAAAGCAGTTTTTAATTGTTTTAAAGCCATTTTAAGGTCAATATTATTCGCTCTTTCAGCAATATTAGTGTTGGATTGTCTCCAGAACAAACCACTGTTATACAATGACTTGCCTAATTACCCTAACTTTACCCTAATTACCCTATTGAAGCCTTTACATGTCACTTTAAGCTGAACACTAGTGTCTTGAAGAATATCTAGTCTAATATTATGTGCTGTCATCATGGCAAAGAGAAAATAAATCAGTTATTGGACATTAAAACTTGGAGTTATCAAAACTATTACGATTAGAAATGCTCTCCAGCAAACAGAAATTGGGGAAATTAATACACAGGAGGGCGAATGACTCTGACTTCAACTGTACCTGTAACACTGCAGCCTTTACAATGATCCACCAGCACAAACATTTAAAAGTATTGTGGATTATGATGTGCATAAAATGAAGGTTTAGGTGCACCAAATAAAAACAGGAGTCTGATAAGCTAATAAAAGAGTTCATGTTAAAGTTGACATACTGTGCATTGATTGAATATGTTAAGGGAACACTCAAAAATACTGGATATCGGTATCAAATTGGCCAATGTATTAGTAAATTTCTATATTTTTTTAAATAACTGTTATCGTCATGGTGAAAAATCACGATGAATATTTTGTTCTCATAACTATTTGTTTCTGGTTTCTAGTAAAAAAAAACAAAAAAACATTGGTATCAAATTGGCCAATTTATTTTTATTAGGATTTAATATTTTAAAAGGATTTAAATATTTTTATTGGCATTTAAAAAAAAATGTTTTTAGTAAAAAAAAAAAGAAAAAAAAAAGAGAAAAAAATTGGATATCAGCATTGAACTGTCCAATTTATTAGTAAATATATATATATATATATATATAATTCTGACTGTATATTAGAAAGGAATATAGTAATATCAAGTATTGGTATTGAACTGGCCAATTTATTAGTATTTTTTAAAATCATGATGAATATTTTTTTCACATTGTCATTTTTAATAGCTTCTAGTAAAAAGAAAATTTTTTTTTAAAAATAATGGATATCAGTATCTAAAGTAATCCCAATTAATATTTTGTTCACATAACCATTTTTTAGTTTTTAATAATTAATTTCTAAAAAATAGTTTCTAAATAAAATTTAAAAATTAAATATCGGATATCGGTATTAAATTGGCCAATTTATTTATTTATTTTTTTTTAAATCACAATGAATGTTTTGTTCACATTGTCATTTTTAAAGGCTTTTAGTAAAAAAAAA